AAAAAAAAAAGAAAAAAGGAGACGAAGCAAGCTAAGCTCGAGCTCGAGCAAAATCACTTGTCTCTTCCCATGCGTCAGGATTGTGAAATCCTTGGAACATACTGTCCTGAGATCCCAACACGTAAGACGAATCAACTCCATAAGTCGTGAATACATTTCTTCCCGTCTCGTTGCTTGTCTGAAGTCCGGCAGAAGAACTCATCATCATCAACTGTTTCTTCTCATCGCTGCTCGTCGTCTGATGATTCTCGTTGAGGCTGACGGTGGTAATATCGTGAATACTCGCTCGTCTCTTGTCCTTACCGCCCGAGAGCTGGCGGATGAAGTACTTCTGTGCGTGGCTCGCTACCTGAGTCGGTGTCCTCGTCATCACAAAATTTCGCGATATGTTCCTCCAATCACCTTTCCCATACTTCTTCAGCCCCATCAAGAACAGCCTATATCAAGATTACACACAACACTCCGTATCAATTCAGATTCTCTACATGTCAAAATTTCCACTTTCAATAAATAAATAAATAAATTTACTTGTGCTCTTCCTCGGTCCACGGGACGCCTTTTTTCCGTTCGTGTTCGGCGGGCAGGCGAACGGCGGGAGATTTCCTCGATTGACTGAAGGTGAAGGGGAAGGGGTAGGGGTGGGTGGTGGGACCCGCCCCAGTACTCGAGCGTGAAGTGAGGGGACGACACGTGGCAGGAGTATCCGGGGACAGGGACGAGGCCGGCCTCGATGCTGGTGACGTCATCCTCGAGCTCCTTGTAGTGGCGGATGACGTCGAGCACGGTTTTTGTGGGGACCATGGCAGCCACCTTGTGCCACCTGTCGGGAGTGTTGTCGTCGAAGAGGGCGAGGGCGTTCTCGAAGGCCTTGTTCTCAGCCGGAGTCCACCGGACCTCCTCGTCGGCTCCGGCCGGCCAGCCGGTGGTGTTGGTGAGGTAGCTGGTAGGGGATAGAATCTCCATCTCCCCCCACCTCATCAAATACTCCAATCCAATTTAACTTATATATGGATCAAAGGTTTGT